AATTTTTAACTATCTAAAACTGAAAAACAAAAAATAAACATTGCAAAACATGAGTGTGATTATTAATTTTAAATTATTTTTAAAAAAAAAAAACTGTTCCATGTTAGTCAGTGGATAATTTTAAGGAACAATTCAATTAGTGGATAATTTAAAGAAATAATTTCAAATTTAAAATAATTATAAAATCTAAAAATAATAATAAAACTTACAAAATTAACTAATAATAATAATAATAATATTAATATTTTTTCAGAAATGTTTCAAATGACAGTCACACATAAAATTATTTTTCCAGTATCAATTTTCAATGTAAAATTCCCCAAAAAAATTTGAAAATATTTAAAATATACAAAACTACATTTTTTTTATTTTTTTATTTTTTAAGTTGAATTGATCCTAATCCTTATCTGATTGATGATTTTTGAATTTCAAATTGATGACAACTTCTTATCAACGGTTTATTAACTTCTTATAATGAATGACTTCTTACTGCATTACAATTATCCTATAAATAAACTATCCCACTTTTTCTAAACCAACCCCACCCACTTCTTCTCCAAAAGCCTACCGAAATTACTATACCCTGATGTATCCATTCCGCTGTCAGTCTTATTTTCAGGTGTTTTCCTTCAAATTTTATTCAAATTTTGTTCAGTTCTTTAGATGATTTATGTATTTTTTTCGCTTATGTATAACATTATTTTAAGTCATCATCTATTATTTTGGATTTTATAGTTGATTGCAAAAATAAAAGTGTGGTCATTAGTGATGTTTAAGTCATATAATATATCCTTATATCCTTCTGATATGCATAGATTTTATTTTTTTAATCTTCTATAATTACGTTTTAATTATTTTAAAAATATTTTTGCAAGGTTTAAATTTAATTGGCATGCGTATTTTATGGAGTATCAAATATTTATGATGCTTAATTGTTAATAGGAGTCCTGACGTGTGATTTAATAATAATAATCAGACCTTCATTATTTATGAAAAATTCATCTTTAATAATCTTCTATATATATATTTATATATAATAGGAGAAGTAAAAGTACCACATGTCAGAACCACAAAAATTTTCAATTATTTAATTAAAAAATGAAAATTAAAAAAATTAAAAACTAAAAAATTAAATTACAAATTACAAATCAGTTAAATTTAAAAACGTTTTTTTTTATAAAAAAAAACTACATATACTATTTAACATAATATTTTTAAAGATAGTTACCATAGTCAATATAACTCTTTTTTATTTTTTTATTTTTTAAAAGATAACTAATTGTGCATGTGGCTAAAGTTTATGTTATTTTGGACTCTGATTTTTATCATAATTAGAATACTTATCTCTATTGATTGAAGTTTATTAATTATTTTAAAAATAATAAAGAAGCAATTGAAAAACAAACCAAAACTAGACATTAATATGACTCCACTACGTACTACTTTCTCACTCAAAATCCAAATATTTAGAGTAAAATATTCAAATGAAAAAAATAACAAAAAAAATACAATAAACTTAAAAATAACCAATTTCTAATAGTATATACTTATTAATAAAAATAGCTTAAAAAGTAGAAAGAAAACAACTGTCAATCCAAAAAAAAAGAAAAAAAAGAGGAAGATAAAACGAGGATCCTTGAAAAATGCACAAAATCAACTACCTAACAAATTAATTTAAAATTTAAAATTCAAAAAATAACTAACCTTATCTTTAATAATAATCTAAATTTTATAAGAACGTCTTTGAAAAAAAATACAATTCTTAACTTCATCATTCATACCTTCTTAAAATCATCTCTTCAAAAATAGGATTTCAGACATGTGTTAAGAAAAAATAACATCCAAACAAAAATATAATTGTACTCACTAAGATCATAAAAGAAAGAGTTAATATATTAATTTATTGTATGTTTATATATGCCCTCTATCTAAATTGTTTGGTCTACAATTATTTTTTATGATTGAAATTTGAAGGGATCACCACCTCTCCAATGCGACGAGGAAGAAAAAGAAACTGATGATAGAGAAATGGATGAATTATGAATAATTTCATACCAGTGAATCATGTATGTCATCTTTCAATATTTTAAGTATATAAATTACTACTATGATAATTAGTTCGTTCATATGCTATTTTCTATTATAATCTAGCCCTTTTCTATTCATTTTTAAAGTAAATATTAAAATGATCCATTTTATGTGATTTATTAGTTCAATTGGTATTTAAATTTAGGTTAAAGTTCCTAATTTATGTTTATTAAAATTAATTTACGTGTATGGGTAAATTTAACTAAACAAAAATATTTTGTTTGAAATAATTTTTATAGTTGTAAATTGAAACTATAAAAAATAAATTTTATTTTAAAAACTATTTAGATAGGATAATATTTGCTTAAAATTAGTTAATTAAATTAGTGTTAAGTGTTATTTTTTTAATTTTTGAATTTGAATTGGAAGTTACATATTGATCTTCTAAAATTTGAATTGAAGATAAAATTGAATTTCAATTGATTCTTATTTAAGGAGGTTGCATGTACGCTCAATTATTTTTATTTCAATCGTGCAAATTATTAATAAATCAATAAAAATAAATATGACAATTTAATTTTAAAATCGTGAACAATTTAATGAAAATAAAAACGTGAAACAAAAAAATTATTTGATACTTACATGATTTGTTGTCGATCTATTCATATAGATTTGATTATTGGAATGAAGGTGAGTACGTTTCATTAATAGTTTTAATATTATCCGCGCATCGCGTGGACACATATACTAACATATTAGTTAATCATTGTGCTTTTATATATTAATTTTATTGGTCAATTTGAAATTTAAGATGTTTATATAAACTTTACCCATAATATATTTTGATATTTTAGACTTTCAATTATTACACTATAGTAGTGATGACATTAATAAGAAGTTTATTGCAAGAGTATCTCTGTAATACTGATTTTTTGCAATAATTATTTCTTCACCCTCTTTTCTTTCTAATTAATTGTTTGCCTGCTATTATTTTTGTACGTTGTTTAAATAAGATATTTTCATCTGTTACATTTTTTTCCCCATCATATTTCACTGTTTGACAGGTATTAGGTAATATTTTGTACTAAGGTTACATTATATATATATCAACTAACCGTGTAACGTGCGGGCACGTATACTAGTGCATTATTTAAAGCAGTTTGAATATTGGGCGGTTCAACCCTAAAGCCATTGCTCATTAGAGTAGTAGATCTAGGATAGGCGATCAACCTTCTGGAGAGAGTGATATGTATAGACTAGGTGAGTAGGGATGCAACTCTGTAATCGCTTGCTGGAAAGACTGGAACTAAATTGATATAGCACAGGGTATCTGCACTTTAATATATATATTTTTAATACTAATTGAAACTTCCTTAATAGCTTGTTGTCAACCTTTTTAGCAATTCTTATACACATATTTTCAAAATTTACTATTTTCTAAAAGCGTAATTGATTTTATTAATAATTAAAAATTGTAGACAATTAAATGTGTTGTTACTTTGTACTTCTTAATTTGTCTAATTTATTTCAATTTAAAATTAATCACTACATTGGTTTAAAATTGTCTTCAATTCTTTGAGGTGTTATCTTAGACATTTCAAACTCAAATTAATTAGATTATCAAATAATTAAATGTAAAATGACATGTTTTAACGTTGAATATTTTCTAAAGCGTAACAATCACTACTATAATATTGATTTAGACCTATTTTTGTAATTACACAAATAAAAAATGATACTCTATTTGGAATATTCAATTAGGTGAATATCTTATTTCAATTTTTAAATACTTCTAGGATAATTTTGATAAATTTGTGTAATAACTGACTTAGCTGAAAATGTTTTCAAAATTATATCAATAACAAGTTACCTAAACATTTGTGGTGTAATGCAGTGTACATCAATTTATATATGTTCATTCATGTATTTTAAATATACAAAAAATGTTATACGTCTATCAATTGAAAAAAAATAATTAATTATCAAATTGTAATTAACTATCATTTTAAGAAGTTAGGAGTATAAAATATAAATAAAAAATTATTAAATAAGCGTAAGATTTCATTTTAAAAACCTTAACTTGAGCTCATTCATTTTATTGAATCGTCCCTTTTTTGATATAAACATTATTTTTTGTCAAGTCAAAGCCACTTTCATATATTCTTGTTGATTTTGTAAAAACGATTTAGTTGAAAATTAGTGCCCAACAAATGCTCTATTTCATGTAAAATTGGAAGTGATCATATCAAACATGTCTTAGTTTCAGTATGATATTGCATGAAAAAAGTGGTATTGTATATTCACAAAAGAAATTCAAAACGGGATTTGAATAAACTCTCGCGTGCTCTTTATCTCCATTGCTATCTGAATATCAAGTATAAAAATCTCAAAATTATGATCATTATTTTTTTGTAATATCATAAGCTAATTATTCTTTATGAATTATTCACAAAGATAATATTATTTCATAAGTCTTGCTCGTAATATCATAATATTTGTTTCACACATCAAGCTTGTCCGTGAAAATATCTTAATGAATTTTCTTTCAGTTTTGTTTATTTGTTGGCCTATGTTAACCTGAGATAAAATAAATATTTATTTTCTTTGTCAAATTTTTTTAGTATAAATTTAATTGAGTAATCTAATTAATTCTAACGCCTTAAATTAAATGATTTTATTAATGTAAAACAAAATTTCGACTTTCATAAAAATTGACTAACCTTTTGAGATTATAAGATATATACAAATGCTTTGAAATAATATTATTTGTTTACTTACCGAAAAATAAAAATAAAACTAAAAACCGACAAAACTTTTAGAGAAATGTTTCATACCAAACACATCCATAAAATATAACACTTCCATTTATTCATTCAAACTTGACAACAAGAAATACTACAAAGAGAGTCAACAATGATACTAAATGCATTCTTGAACAATAAATTATTGTATCTTATACTAAGATCAATGTCCTACCATGAAATTTTGTTCTTTTGGACATTTTTTTTATTTCCAAGAACACTCATAATCCTTCTTCCAGGTAAAATCAAGGTTCGACAAAATATCAAAGAAAAACTCAGTTGACTCAGAAAGGCGAAAATCCCAATCCACACAAAAACAGTTCTTCTCCAAATCCATATGATTTTTTTAATTTGTGGCAACTCTGTTTCCACATGTAATGTTGCTGAATAAATTTCTGGTATACCAGCACCTTCTGGTTGATACTCTGCTCTTTTTTCAATAACAACTTTAAAACATGCTGTTGGCTCAAAACCTTCTGTGAAATCATTTATAACAAGTTTAAGATTTTGTACTTCTGATTGAAATCCAGTAACAAGTGGAATTGATTTGATTGCTGTTTCGACTAATCGAATTGGTTGTGATTTGAATTTCAACATGCTTGGATAGCTTGAAGTTGCTGTTACTTTGCCATTTGATGATAAACAGTCCACCCTTACCTTTTAAGTACAGAAGTTATTAGTACAAAAAAGATCTAATTATGCAAAAATAAGGATTAGTTTCATGAATTTTTAGTAAACTTTAGGGTCGTTTGATAGCTGGTTAGAGTTATGCTGATATTAATTATGACATGATTTAATTATGGAGATATTAGTTTCTTCTATAATATCAAACAAGTATTTATTTAGTTATTGTACATTACGTACTCGTTATAATAGTGCAATCATGATTTCATTTTGTCTCATTAAAGTTATTAAAGGTTATCCATTGTAATATTAAAATCACAAAAACTTTATTCATTGAAATGGAGTTGTTAATATATATATATATATAAATATCCTTTTCTTTAACCAAAAAAAAAAAAGTTACTTAAAAATGTAGGTCTCTAGTCCTGTCATTATAGTAAGTAAAATCTAGTAATTCTATTGTTATGGTCACTACAATAAAACTACGTGTAGCGACAATAAATAAGGGACACTAAAGTCTTTATCATCATTAGTTAATTATTATTGGATCTAATGTCGCTATAAACTTTTGGACATTCGCAAAGAGATAATTGATCGTATCCTAGTAGATGTATCAGTCCATAACCACGAATCCTAAAGGTTATGTGATTAAGAATCCTGCCTTTAGATCCACACAGTGAATCAGGTACTCGTACTTGAGTCTAAACAACATGGGTAGGTACGATTCATTTTGAGACTTTTACTATTATAGTTGATACATTTCGGGACTTTACTATTAGTTGATAAAGATCAATGACCATACGTGAGATTAACTCGAAAATATCCCAAAATTAATTAACTTAAAAAAATACCTGGAAAATCCCAAGCTTCCTGTTGTACTCAGATTCTGGCATGGCTAATGAAACAGTAAGCTGCAACTTGTGATTATATGGTATGGGCCTGTCTTCAATTTTGGGCTTTGAAATCAATGGATTAGAAAGCCCATTAGATGCAAAAGGTGCAAAAGCAACTGGGCTTGTTTTTGTATAATCAAAATTCAAGGCCTTTGTAGTCTCAATTGGTTCTTCCAATAAACGTCTCAAAGTAAGCCCACTTACTACAAAGCCCATTACCAAAAGCCCAACTAGCAGAAAACAAACATAAGCAGCCCAAAACAAAGCCCAACAAAACCTTACTGACAACTTTAACAAAGATTTTTGGGCCTTAATTTGGTTGAATACAAAAGACATCATTTTTGACCAAGATTTTGTACCAAGATTAATTAGTTGCTTTTTAAAATTGTTTTTGGCATAGGTTAGTGTGTTAAATGGTAATGTCAATACCATTATCCAAAAGTTCATCAAGAAAATTGGAAATGTGAAAAGTTTTACTAGGATATTCATTTGAATTCCGAAAAGTTTGAGCATTGTTATTGCTAAAAATGAAGTGAAATCGAACGAATTAAAATGCTCTTTACTTGTCTCGATACCAAAGTTCCTAGACGTTCCACATGCTAATTTGTCATCGAGAAGGACTGATTTTCCTTTGCTTCTCCTTTTTTCGCAAGCGGTCACCTCATCGGTCCATGAACTTAAGCTAGAGCTTGAAAATGCTTCTTGAGTTTTTCGGCCCAATAAGACTTTTTCAGCTCCAAGTAACAAAGAATATTTCACCAAATTTGTGACATAATTTGGTGATTTTTTGCAATCATATTCAAGAAATTTACCACTATCATGTCTGCCAACAACATTTTCAACAATTATTGGTTGTTCATCCATGGATGTGATTGAAAAAGATTAATTCAAGAATTGGATAGTGGGAAAAAGGAAGAAGAAGATAGGTGACAAAGAGGACTTCCCTGTGAAAATAGTTAATGAAAGCAAGAGGCCTATTTTATAAGGAATTTTTTTTTCTTGGAATGCTAAACAATTGGAGGGTTCACATTGGTAGATTATTTGCTCATTGCATTAGCCAATAGCACAGTAAAAAAAAATACTCCATCCGTTTAAAAAAGAATGACCTAGTTTGACTTGGAATGGAGTTTAAGAAAAAAAAAACTTTTTAATCTTGTGGTTCTAAATTAAAGTTATGTCAAATGTACCAAACTACTCTTTAATCTTGTGGCCTTAAACATGACACGTGAAAAGTTGAAATTAAAGTGTTGCCAAAAAAGGAAAGGGGTCTTTTTTTTAAAACAAACTAAAAATTGAGTCATTCTTTTTTGAAACAAAGTGAGTATATATTACTTCCTCCATCCCATTTTAAGTTTTAACTATAGTTTCATCTCAAAATATTATCCCAAAATAATTACTCCCTCCGTTTTAAAAAGAGTGACCTAGTTTGATTTGACACAGAGTTTTAGAAAATAAAGAAGATTTTTGAATTTTGTGATCCTAAATTAAAGTTATGTCAAATGTACTAAATTACCCTTCAATCTTGTGGCTTTAAACATGTCACGTGGAAAGCTGAAATTAAAATATTACCAAAAAAAGAAAGAGATCATTCTTTTTTAAACAGACTAAAAAGGAAAGGAGATCATTTTTTTTTAAACGGATGGCGTACCATTTTAGAAATTCAGGATTAAAGCTGGTTGTTGTTTCCAGCTACCTCCTTAATAGTACTCCCTCCTCATCATTAGCTGATCAGTATATTATAAATAGTTGTCATAATTAATTTTTTCTTATATTACTCTTCCAATTGATTTTTTTTAAGTATACACATTTATTTATAAAATTTTGGAAAAAAAAAATTAGGGATGAATTAGTAAAATTATCTTCTTATTTATAATTTCTTAAGCACCATGTAAAATGAAAAGTGATCACTTAATATGAAACGTAAGAAGTATTAAAGAAGAATGCACAGTATTTAAGAAGAATAAGCCAATTTACTTTTATTAGATAAGGTTAACTTAATAAACTATATCTAGTACTTCTTTCATTCATATTTTCTTGCCACTTTTAAGTTTTAACATATATAAAAAAATCCACTTATTTTATCCTAACATTAATTACTTATTATCATCAAATTGTTTTTCTGCCTAAGACTATACATAAATTATTATAGATATTGTAGTAATATTAGTATTTATTCTTAAAATACATTCAGAGTTTAAAATAAACAAGTAAAAATGAAAGACTTAGTATTTATTGTTTTTTTAACCGATATGAAATGAATAAAAACGATCATTTAAACAGGACAAAAGGAGTAATTGGTTGAATTGTCATCTGATTTCTGTGATTCTCAGCTCAACTTTTGCTTCAGGATAACTGATGCTGCAGTGTGTCACACATATCAATATCCTTGATTAACTAATTCCATCTAAGATTCCAAAATTAAATGGAAAAAACAAATAAAAATTAAAGAAACAAGAACACAGATCACTTACATTAAAAAGCTAAAATTGACTAACTAAATTGGAAAAAAAAAATGAGTTAGTAATCTCGTCATAAGATTTTGAAAATAATATATAAATGTGACATTTATATTCTTTAATTTTAGATATGTACAATTAGACACTTAAATTTGTATAAAATTGAACAAGTAGACTGTAGACACACATATCTTCTATAACATATTATAATATGTGTCCTATACGACATTATATTTTACAAATCAACTCGAATATATCTCACACGAATTGCCACATTTATAATCTAAGTGTATTGCAAATATACTACACACTAGTTATAATTTAAGAAGACGAGCTTTGAAGCAAAATAAAGTTTTCTCTATGTGATCTACAAATCATGAGTTTGAGTCGTGGAATAACTCACTAATACTTACATCAAGATATATGTTATATATCTATATCCCACCCCATAAATATGTGACCCTCACTTGAATCTCACGCAAACATTAATGCTTAGTACACTGAGCTCTCCGGTCATATGAGTGTCAAATGAAAACATTTCAATTTAATAGTATTAACACTTGTAATTTTTAATATAGGCCAAATTATGTCAAGACATTTTATGGAATGGGCACGCATATCCAGAGAAATTGTGACTCCGCATCTCAATCTTCTTTTTTGTATTTTATGGCTGCATGGGAATCCATTACCACCTCAACAACTGGAACAAGAATATGTACCGTACCTAACATTAAATTTTATTCAAAATATTACACAATATAATTAATGATAAAAATATAAAAATAAAAGCAAAAAAGAATGGTTTATGTTGTGTCACAGAAAAACCATTGCCATGTAAATAATTGGTAAAAGGAATGGAATGTCAATTTCTTCTTTAGTCAGAGATTTCGTGTTTGAAGTCGGCTTTGTTAGAAAGAAAAATAGGAAAAAATCTGAATAAATTAGAATTTGATTATTTTTTCTCAACTTGTTAAATTAACTGAACTTAGGGTCCATTAGAAAAGTTAGTCCAGAAAAGGCCCAATATCATGACCATGGGCCTTATCCACTAAACTGGCCCATGGCGATTCCTAGTAAATTATTGTCTCAAAGATGGTAAAAGATTAGTTTAAGGGTACCAAAATTTAATCAAAATGGGTGTTTACACAAAACCAACAAATAAAAGATGTGTGCTAATATGTTAGTTTTATTTTAAAGTTTTAATCATTGAGATTAAATTATTTGATTTGATATAATTATCCGTAGGCAAAAATATTTATCACTCTTTGCATTTTTCTGTGTCTTAGGGATTCAAAAGTACCATGTTTACAAAAAGATATAATCATTTTATAGTCCAAAGAGTGTGAACAGAAGAAACAGAGGTTTTTTATCACCCCTTTGAACACAACATAATATATGTATAGTTAATAGGAGATTAAATTTAAGATTAAACTTTTTCTAAATGTAATCGATTATATAAATTCTCATTTCTTTCCTTTATAATGGAGACGTACCTTATTATTAATTCTATAAATACCAATCACTAGATAATTGACCAAATATATATTTTATATTAAAATAAACCAAAACATCTTATTCCTAAAGTATGGTCCCCAATTGATGACATTCCCTAAAAATAGAAACTTTTGAGATATATGTACTTTAGTCCCTCAAATATTGAATTAATTTCTTTTGATCCTTGTGCTCTTCAAAATCAAGTATGTGTGCTTCTGATCTCTTCAAATATTTTCTAATTTGATTTCTATTTTTACTTGTTATTTTTGATAAATTAAGAAAGGAAGATTATTTTTTTTCCTATTACATCCTCAATTTATTAATATTGGGTTAATATCTTTGAAAAATATAGTGAGTCTCTATATTTGAAACCTGTCAATTAATAAGAATAAAATAATAATTTCACCATATTTTTTTAAAATACCACGGATAATGTATATAAATAGTAGCCTCTTTTTTATTTTAATTTCTTTTTAACTTCTGTTTCTTCTGTTTTTCTCTCTAAAATAGTTTGAAATCTTCAAAGCTATAATGATGAGAGCGATAGGCTTGCGGAGCGGCTGGACATTTTTCACACTATTAATTTGTAGTCTCATAAGTCTTTTAGTTCTTCTTCTGCGCCACACAACTGCGGCGCAATCGCACAAGAAAAACTGCAATTTATTCAGAGGAAGTTGGATCGAGGATGAAACTAATAATTATCCTCTTTATAATTCAACTCATTGTCCTTTTATTGAACATGAATTCAATTGCCAGAGGAATGGTCGTCCAGATAAAGATTACCTTAAATATAGATGGAAGCCTCATGGTTGTTCCTTAACAAGGTACTCGCTTTCTGTCTCAATTTAACTGTCTTACTTTCCTTCTTAATCTGTTCCAAATAGTGTTTCTTTCTATGCTTCGTAAGTTTCTCAATTCCAACAAGTTTAAGACCACAAAAATGAATATACAATACATTTGTAATTTAAGATCATAAAATTCAAAAATCTCATTTTATTACTTAAATTCTGTGTCCAATCAAAGTAATACACTTAAAAATTAAAATAATAGGAGTCTTTATTGCCCTCTATCTCTAATGCTTGTTACTCCATGTGTTAAAATTATTTTAGTGTAAATTTACGTTATATATAATGATATTATATACTATAAATAATTTTGTGTTGCAATATGTGAACCTCCATATTAAGTCTAATAATATGATAGACTTAGAAAGTAACTTTATAAGAGCATGTGTTTGGCTAAGTTTTTAAGTTGGTCAAATTAACTTATCGAAGTATATGATAAATATAAAGTCACTACAAGCAAAGTGTGAATTATATAGGGATTTTCCTAGGAATTAGTATGAAAATTCACAAGAAACTTATTTTCCTGCAAATTTTCATACTAATCCCCAGAAAAATCCCCATGTAATTCACCCTTTTCTTATAGTGAGTGTTTATAAGTTAAAATCGATCAAACGTCATAATTTGGTCCCAGACTTATAAGTTTTCATAATCTTCCTTAAAAAAAAATGTTTAAAGAGAATCTTTTATTTTATTAAAGAGAGAAGAAGATGGAGGTCATGTGAGCTGTAGAATTAATTTTTCAAAGAGTTAATAATATAGTGAAACCTGACTAGTCCAGAAAAGTGGCCGGGTTAATCATATTTTGAAAGACCACTATGCAATATCTTTGCCTTTTACCTTGTAGTAATTGGTTAATTCACTTTTCTCTTTTCGCTCCCAAAGAGTTTTATATATCGAGTATCATGTTCAAATGAATCTGATATTGATACTCTACATGTATCTCAATAGACGACTTAGCTATAAGTTATACATCTTATTAAGTGTCTTATTGGGCTAAGTCTACACTCGCCAAACACATAAAGTTGACGATCTAATATCACTATAAGAGGTAGTTAAAAAGTTCATGTAT